CGCTTTGAGTTAGAGGCTCAGGCTGACATTGGTCCTCTGTTCATCAGACGTGATGACCATGAAACTCGACGTAATCTTCCCCAAAGCCCGCCCTGAGATTCCAACCGTCTCTGCAGCTTTAAAAGAGGGGAAGTAGTGGCTAGATCGTCGACTCTGTACGACGGCTTAGAACTGGTCATTCTCAGCCTTTTCAGCTGGGAAGAACTATACAGTGATGGGTTCAAGAGCGCGTTACGATACAGAATTAGTGAAAGACGTACTCCAAGTATTGCAGACAAACTGGTTTCGGTCGTGGCAGAGACTGAAGCAGCCACCCCATACGCATGTTCCCCCAGCATGAAAATCTGGGGGACTCCTCTGACAAAGGAGGTGCGTCGCGTTCGAGGGAGCGAGGATCTTTTGAAGCAACTTTGGGAAGACACATCTGCACTGCATGTTCCGTTTCCCTTTCTGGGCCCTCACAGTCCTTCACAAAGGCACCAGGCTCCAATCGTTTCAGGCCTTAACGTGTTGTAGAGTGTCAGCAACATCCCATTGAAGGGTAGATAAGACACTCACCTTTTAGAGGAGGACATGTAGGAGATGTCAACAGTGCGTGTAATGACTCCTGATCGTTTAGAGTAAACCTGCTCGATATGATCGGCCTTCATCTTCCAATGGCCCAATCCTTGTGGCGCGTGTGGGTTTGAGATGACCTTGGCCGGTGTCCCAGGCACGACTGTCATCTTCTCGTACTTAAACAATGAATCAGAGACCGCCACAACCGATCCTTCCTGCAGGAATGGCCAACCCATGAGAGTCCGTTCGCCAATCATCTTCAACTTCTTCCGTCTTCATCCCCTCATATGGGTTTCGTATATGCACCGCCATCGATTTGTTCTGGCTTTCTGAACCATGGACGTTTACGCCATGGTATCGCAGTAGCGCCGTGTGTGGAAGCGTTTTGAGGGATGGGAATCAAGCCAGAGCTTCTGTACCGAGAATACTCCGCCGCAAGAAGAATCCAGGCAGAGATGAAGGATAGAGAGTGGCCTCGCCCGGGTTGAAACTGAATTTTGAGCTCGAGCCCCAAGTGTTCCTTTTTCTCTCCTCGGGGGTGAGACAATGATCACGAGCTGAAAGTGAATATATACGTTGGTGTCATAAGACCATACTTTGGCTAGGAACGTACCAGTCGTGGCTTTCAGCAGCCTCTCTTCATCAATGAATGTGACAATTGCCTCCTGGTCTTGCTTTTTCCCGTTGAGATCTTGCTCGAACTCGAGAGGGTAGAAGTCAAGAATCAGTGAGTTTGGATCATACATGAGATCCTTAGAAGAACGGTCAGCCGGCAATCATATGCGAACGTCGATATCTACCTGATAAGCTAGCGGAATGTGATCCATGCTAGCAACGGGCAACACGCCCATAAGCTGCTGGTACGGCTTGAATGGCGTTCCCAGCTGAAAATCGAAAGACATTTCGTCAACTCCCTGCAAATCTGTGATTGGCAACGTGAGCAACATCCAACATCCAAACCGACGACGCACACCTGAAATCCGACGAGCGTAATGATAGTTGTAGAACCATCCCCATGATGCAACTCCACGCGCATGACCAACTGCAGGTCGGTAGATCAGATCACCCATTTCAGTTGGGTCGTTGTAAGATATCCCTAGCTTCCCCTGCGTTGGTGTCTTGTCAGCTCAAACTTAATTTGAGAACAACAAAAAGATCCCAACCTTATAATAACCCCGCTTCCACTTGTCCCTCTTCTCTTTCAAAGACCGTTCATACCGCTCCTCAAACGTCCCGTCGGCATCAACATCCTCAACAGGCGCCTTCTCATACTTCTTAAGCACACGATCAACCGTTGCTCTGCTCTCTTCGTCTTCAACCTCAACCTCGTCTTCCCGCTCACTATCCTCCTTCTGCTCGCCCATCTCAGGCTCATCTTCCAGCGCTCTCGGAAACCGACACGTCGCCAGATTCCTGTCCTCCTCATCAAACTCGTCCCACGTCACACTCAGGTGTAGATCCTCCGTCAACTTGGCGATGAATACTCGCTCCCTCGCAGGGAACGAGTTTTTCATCGTCAGCCACACGGCTCGGTAGTGAGAAGGCGAGGGCGCGTTCCTGTTCTCTATCACAAATGCCTTGATCTTATCGAAGATCTCCCTCTGCGCCGTAGTTAAAACTGTCGCCAACGTCAGCATTCCGTAAAAGATTATCCCATTGAGAGCATACATACCTAGCTTCGCCCGTTTCTGCCCGTCTTCCATCTCTTTGACATGTTTTGCTTGTTTCCCCTTGTACCAATTCAAATCGGAATACTCCTTCTCAAACACCCCCTGTTCCCATGGAGTCATCTCGTCCAAAATGACTTGCAGTCTCTTCGTGTTGATCACTCCTCCCTCGTTTGTATAACCATCTACAACGACAGTTAGAAATGCAGCAAAAAGCGAGCGGGAAGACACTCACCCAAACCCGGCAATACTTTCTTGTATACATCAAACAACTTCTCGAGCCCATTCTCATGTATATGAAGATCGGGAAGATCGGGGAGAAAATCGTCAATCACCCGTTTGAGGTTATAGTCGAACGGCAACATTAGTTGAATCTCGTGGAATTCGAGGTCAAGATACTCTCTCATCAACGAGAGATGGAGTAGATAAAAGTTAACCGATTCTAAGCTAGTGCGATAAGAAAGACCATTTGTCCCGCCGACAGGGGTAAAAAGAATCAAGTACCTCGTATTCCATTTTTTCCGCGACGCTGGGCCAAACTTGACCTCCTCGCGAAGCAAACACAAATGGGGATCATGGCTTAACAGCCCCAACATGATTAAGTCGGCATCAAGGCCGTACAGGCAATGTCGAATGTTGGGGTTGTAACCAGGCTGCGCGCGCGATAGGCGAATGTACTCCATGATCTTGTGCTCGCCCTCTCCAGGGACCTCGCGCCCCGACAGCACCACTTTGACTTCGCGCCAATTCGAGTCCTCCGAAATCTTCTTGTGGATGAAATACCGCAGCTGGTCGATAAACGTGCCATAAATGGTGTCTCTAATGAACGTTGTCAGCGGTGCACAAGCTATACATGAAGAAGAAATGTTCGGCGAGTGTATAGAAGAAGAAAGGGCAGAAGTAGTTTCAGCCCATGTGTCAATGACTGGATCTCTTCTAGACGTATGTGCGCAAGAAGAGTTATGGGAAGGCCGACGACAGCGAAAGACATGCAAAGTGGGTATGCAAAATGGAGAAGAAAGGAGTATACAAAGGTGAAAGTCACTCAGTGGAATGACGTGGCGGAAAGGAGCGCTGCACCAAAAAGACGGATAGAAACTCACCGGAGCAATACAATTGCTATCAAACGCCTTCTCCATCGGCAACTTCTCGCCCTTCAATTCAGCTTTTTCCCGGACCACCTTTGCCTCCTTCGCGGTTCTGAAACGCCTGCTGCGTTGCTGATTCATCTTCGCCCTTGGCGCCACCCCATCCACCGCCACAAAGAAAAGTTTCTTCAACTTGATCTTGCCAAAGAGATGATCCACGTATGTGAATATCAAAGTGAAGATCTGCTCTTCTGTAAGTCGGAAATGAGTGTCCTCATCGTTCAGGCGAGAGCCTAGAAGGTTTCAGTATGGAAAACAACTTCTGAGTAAAAGAAACGCACAGTTGTGGATGATTCCGTTGAAATCCAAGTAAAGATTGTCTGAGAGTAATGTCGTTGGTTACGGTCTTTCCCGGTCATACGCCGCCCACCAAACTCTGGAATCTTGTTCTCTTGTATCAACTCCGAGGTCAATGGGTATCTCTCTCTAAGTCACAATCAGAAAGGGTTGGAACGAGGCGAATTAAACCAACAAATGAGATGTATCGGAAGAACTGAAGAAATCGCCAAAATCACCCGAACAGCGACGAACCTCGGGGATACCTATCGCCGATGACTATCAGTTAGCCCCTTTGAACGTACAACGATGCTTACTGACCGGTGCTGACCCATTATAGAGCAATATGGATGCCTGGAGACGGAGCGTGGTGGTCTGGAGGTGGTCTGGAGAAGGTTCAAATTTGTCATGTGAGCTCATTGCGGCCATAACGTTGACTCGGAACAAAGCATTTCCTCTCTACAAGTTGCAACCGTACCTTTGAAAATCTTTGCCAACTTCATGCCTGTCGATGGCCTGTTGAAGCTTTTAAAATACCTCTGTATTGAGTCTCCAATCCGCCGAAGTGTCTCGCCCTGTATTTCGGTGAGAATTTGACGTTGATTATATCAAATATGAACTATACTCGTTATTCAATGCGCTGTAAACCCGACTTTGGCCTGGCTTGGTCCCCTTCTTGACCTCCGGAGCCCCACTGTCAGCTTGTGGCCTGGACTGGCTTAGGTTTAGGCCCACGAAGCAGCCACCTTACAGGGTATACTACCTCCAGTACTTCATCCTCGCGCTTGAAGGGGAGCTCCTATAACCGTACGCCCACTCCTACCGATGCGATGCTTACAAGCCACCACGCAGACATCTGATCCTTCCGTTCACACCGGAAAGCACATAGGGATCATTTTTCTGGGCAAGTTGCGATTTTGCTTTGAGCTTTCGCCTACGCAAAGCCCACTTGGCCTTCCGTTGAACAAGGCAAGTTTGTTTATATCTCTCGCATTTGAATATCAATAGGAGAAAGTACTCCGACATTTCAGAATCATGCAAAGCCGCTACTATAAATATGCTGCCGTGTCCATGCCTCTCGGACATCTGATCATTGCTGGTTTATCAATACGAGGTCCTGACCTGCCTTCCGTCTGCCAAAAAAAACTCGACACTAGCATTATGGGACAATCTTTCTGCCTAGTCTCGATGCTGATATCCGGCCTCAGACTTTCACCATACAGAAGTACTTCATCCTTTCAAAATCATGCAAAGCCGCTACTATAAATATGCTGCCGTGTCCATGCCTCTCGGACATCTGATCATTTCTGGTTTATCAAGACGAGGTCTCGATCTACCCTTCCGTCCCCAAAAAACACTCGACCCTAGGATCCTGGAACAATCTACCTGCCTAGTCTCGATGCTAATATCCGGCGTCAGACTTTCGCCATACAGAAATTAATAAATTGCGTGCATAAAGATGAGTAGGCGTTGATCTTATCAATTCGCTTTCGTATAGATTCAAATCCAGGCCCTCTAGGCAATTTCTTGAATCAATGCAGCGTGGATATGGGAAGTCTGCGAAAGTTACTGCGCGGAGAACGGAAATCACTGCAGGCACTCCTCAGAGGGCTATTGTGCGATGCGCCCTTGTCATGTTATTTCTGAACGTCGGATCATTTTCAGCAAAAGTCATACATTATATTTGTTATGTTGAGGAGACGGCCTCGACTCGGTGCGTGAAGGAAAAAATTCAACACTGTAATTCAGGAACAACCTCTCTAACCCAAATTGCAACACTAATAACCGGCGTCAGCCTTTCACCCTACAAGACCTATACTTAGGCGTTCAAAATATGACGTGCGTTCAATTAGAATTGTGTCTTTCACACGATCGTCAGTATTGCAAGATCCAAACTTCTCGGATATCTGATTCTTGCAATGTAGATATCTTACCAGTCAGAAGGAGACTTTGTACGCGATGAAAAAACCACAAGTATACATAGATGTCGCTATAGTACCATAACAATAGAAATTGACAATTGTCCCAATAAGTCATAGGGCTACCCCAATGGGCCCAATACACATGGACACTATGGATCCATACCTGGGACCAATGGATGTTTACAGCATATGGTATTAATGTGTGGCCCAATGCATATTCTGCAGATGTGGTTATTGCCATAATCAATGGTACCATAGGTACCCAAAGTATAATCTACAGAATGGCCAAATGTTGGGCCACATGCGTTCAAGAGATCACCCGAAGCATTGACATGCTGACTGCAAGTGCTCCGAAAATGCGACTGAAAAAATGTCCGGATTTGTGGTTGCCATGTTGGATGTCACTGCCCCAAATATGTGGCTGAAGAAAGGTCCGGATTTGTCACTAGTATGCAGAATACCAGTGCTCCAAAAATGCGGCCGAAAAAATGTCCGGATTTGTGATTAACTTAGTTAATGTCACTGCTCCGAAAATGCGGCCGAAAAAAACATCCGGATTTGTATTTAAGATGCTGAATGTCATTGCCCCAAAAATGCGGCCGAAAAAATGTCCAGAGTTGTAGTTGACTGAGTAAATGTCACTGCTCCAAAAATGCGGCCGAAAAAACATCCGGATTTGTATTTAAGATGCTGAATGTCATTGCCCCGAAAATGCGGCCGAAAAATTGTCCAGAGTTGTAGTTGACTGGTTAAATGTCACTGCTCCAAAAACGCGGCCAAAAAAACATCCGGATTTGTATTAGTACAACACTGTCCGAAATTTCAGATGTAATTTTGACAGGCGCCAGACAACCCCCGTGGAATGCTTCAATGCCTGAAATTTAGAACTTCAAGCACCCGAAAATGCGGCCGAAAAAACATCCAGATCCGTATTTAACATGCTGAATGTCATTGCACCGAAAATGCGGCCGAAAAAATGTCCGGATTTGTGATTAACTTGGTGAATGTCACTGCTCCGAAAATGTGGCCAGAAAGACATCCGGATTTGTATTAGTGCACCAATGTCCGAAGTTTCGGATGTAATTTTGACACAGACCAGACAGCCCCCCCATGGATTGCTCTGAAGTCCGAAATTTTTTAAGTTATTTCCATCCAGATATAATCATCCACATAGACTGCACCAATGTCCGAAATTTAGTACTTCAAGTACCCGAAAATGCGGCCAAAAAAACATCCGGATCTGTATTTAACTGAATGTCATTGCCCTGAAAATACGGCCGAAAAAATGTCCGGATTTGTGATTAACTTGGTGAACGTCACTGATCCGAAAATGCGGCCGAAAAAACATCCGGATTTGTATTAGTGCAACAATGGCCAAAATTTCGGATGTAATTTTGACATGGACCAGACAACCCCCCACGGAATACGTTGATGTCCGAAATTCTAGACTACAAAACTGTGTAGTGTCTGCTTTTTAGACTACACAATTTTGTAATGACCAGTTGAACTCAGGCAGAACTCTCTCAATTCTTAACCGATTTGGATGTTCTTGGGCTCGTTTTGACAGGTAAACCCGTGGGGTTGTGGGTACGGGTACTCTACAGGTCATGTATGGGCCACTTGTCCGATATTTATAGGCTTTTTAGTGTCCTTGATCATGAATGAGTATATGGGTTCATGGGTCTACGGTTGAAGGAGTGAAAAGGGTGGACATTTTGCAATTGCTGGATCATTGGTTTACTATGTATAAGTATATATATGTTCATGGAGATATGGTTCAAGGAGTGAGAATGACATAG